ATTCTCTCTCCTCCTAGAACAAGAGAGAGAAGAGAGAAGAGGGGGCGTCAGCGGGGGCCGGGGCGCGGGCGGCGCCACAGAGCGAGAAACAACAGCCTCACCCCCTCCGTCCCCCTCGGCCCGGCCGCGCCGCCTCTAAGGCAGCGGGTGCCCTGGGCACCCCGGGCTCTGGCCCTGGGGTCTCGATTGTCTTAAGAAACCAAAAGGAACAGAAAGGAAAGGAAACCGAAAAGAAACGGAAAAAGGAACTCTACTGGCTTACGACTTTAAACACATACAAGAGCAGCATTTAAACAAGCCCAGCGACAGAATCTTTTAGGGTTTTTTCTAGATAGTTCTTTTTTGGCTTTTGTTTTTTTTTTCTTTTGTTTTTAAAGAAGAAGATAGCATACCACGGAATTCAGGCAACTTACATCAACAAATAGGCCGTGTGATTTTAGCATGAAGAAAAAAATTACAAACAGAGCTGTGTAAGCGGGTTCTCCCGGAAAAAAATAAGAAAAAACAACTTTTCCGTACCACGTTTCCTGTCTGCCTGCCTGGCGTCTCCCTCCCTCGCTCTCCTCTCCCTGTGCGCCTGGCTCCTGCACACTCTCTCTCCTCCCTCGCTGGTGCCCTCTCCCCGCATTCAAGTGACAACACTGAAGCCTGCGGTGCTGAGGGGCTGTCACCCCCTGGGTGTCTGCGGGAAGGAGGTGGGGACAAGGCCCAGGAGGGCGGCTGTGTGTGTGGGGGGGCAGTGGGAAGGGGGATTTGGGGACGATGTGTGGGGATTGCTACAGGGTGTGAGGATGGGGGGATGTGCATGGGAAGGAGCCTGGAAGGCTATGAGCAGAGGAGAAACTGAAGGTGGGAGGTGACAGGTCCGTGAGGAAGCGTGGGCAGGGGCTCTTGTCCCGTAGGACCTTGGGAAGGGCGTGAGAAGCCACATGGAGGCAGGGAGATGGGGGCGGGGCAGGGACACACAATTCCTGAGCTTTCCCTAACTCCCAACTTTCTTTTTCTTCACCCTCCACCTCTGACCCCCACTGACTCCCCCCGTCCCCCTCCCCAAACCCCCATGGGCCGCCAGGACCTGGCCAGAGCTTGACCGCCTCTGGCCCTCTTATTATTGTTAAAACAATAATAAAACAACGGAAAGAAGAAGAAAGCAAAAAAAGAAAAAGAATACATACACAGCCATCTGGGAAGGAAGCATTTGCTAATATAGGGCCCAAGGGAACTATTGGGGAGGGCTTTTGGGGCGTTAGGTCTAATGAAGAGGGACCCCAGAGCAGAAACTGCAACTCCCATCAGCCCCAAAGGGTGAGAACTACAACTCCCATTCGCTTTTGGAGGGGTATGGGCCACGTTTCCCACCAGCCCCTGGGTCAGCAACTACAACTCCCACCAGCCCCTGGGTCAGCAACTACAACTCCCATCAGCCCACT